GGGGCCCACAGTGATCATCAGCTGCTCTACCCAGGGCCAAGCAGGGACTTGTCACCCACAGTGGATCCCAGGTGTCAAGGAGAACTCTGCTGGCAGGACAGGCTATCGTGGGAGTCCCCTCGACCCGCTTCTGGCCTTGGGAAGCTCCTGTGGGCTTCTTTATCTGTAAACTAGTCATCACTAAAATACCTGGCCAGCTCTGGGCCACTGAAGGGACTGAAGAATTTGAGGATCAAGGCCAGCCAACAGACACCATGAGCCTGAACAAATATTGGCTATGTGTCATGTGCTGGAAGGGCCTGGGCTCTTTGTGACAGAGCCCAGCCTAGGTGAGATCACAGACCCAGCTCTGTCTCATTGCTTCCATTGCTCAGGGCCTCAGTTTCTTCACTGGGCATTAAGTAGAATGACACAGCCTGCTCCCACTGCTCCCTGGTGTGCACCCTGAGGACCACCCTGAGTCCACCTGGAGTGTGGTAGCTCGTGAACGTGCACAGCTCTGCTCACCCACCTGAGGAACTGGACACTCAGGACCCTCTGCGATCGACTGCCCGAGCCCCTCATTCTCCTCCTTTGTCCCACCAGTTTCTCACCCTTTCTGATGCCGCTGCCGTTTAATAGAGTTCCTTGTGTTGCGGTGACACCTGACCTTTGCTGCTACTTCATAACTGCAGTTTTGCCACTGTCATGAATCATAATGTAAACCTCTGGCATACGGGCTCTCTGATATGGAGAGCCACTGCTTTATCCACTGCCAGCCTTTCCTGGGAGGGGCCCAGCTCTGCCACCATTTCCGCTCTGTGTCCTTGGGCTTGGGATGAGCTTCTCTGAGTAGCACCTTGTATAAGATCTATCTATTCGCGGTGCCTGGTGCCTAGGAAGAAGGAAAGATGAAGCCGGATGGAGACAGGGTCTGCCAGGTGGTTCTGGGATTAGCCAGAGAGAGAGAAATGGTAGAGTAGTCTTCAGGAGTGATGAGAGCAGGACCACCATCCCTCGCCCACACCAGGCCCTTCCTTCAGCTTACACCCATCACCCTTTGGCTGCAATAGTGCTCAAGTAGGTAAACCGAGTCTCAGAGGTCACTCTGCCCAGCCTTCCTTGTGATGTTCCAGGTGGCTCACACTCCACTGGGGAATGGATCCTGCGACTGCGCAGGTGCCAGGCTCCGACCACCCCACGTCTGACAGCTGAAGCCAGCGGTGGCTGGGATACGGGCAGCAGCATTTCAGAGCCAAGGGAGAGATGCACTGAGGGAAAGGGCGGGTGAGGCTAACTCTGAAATCACCTGTGTGCGAATGTTTCCCTTATTTTATGTATGTCTTTTTCCTGTGGTTCAGGCCTCCAGCACAATGGCACTGAACCACAGCCCCAACAATCCCCCCCAACATGTATGACCCACAGAGTTGGGGGGCACTGCGGTAGATGTATGCCTAACATCTACAAAGCCACAGATTTGATCCACAGCCTTGAAAAAAAAAATCACGAAAGCTGTATAAAAATCATTAACAAGGCACTTCATCCTATTGGTGGGTGAGGCGTGCATTGCATGCACACGCGTGTACATGTCTGGAGGCAGATGTCAACATCACGTCTTTCTCCATCGCTCTCTGCCTTGGTGTTTTGTTTTTTTGAGACAGAATCTCTCACTGAGCCTAGAGCCCAGAGTTTCAGCAAGCCTGGCTGACCACCAAGTTCCCCCAGGATTCACCTGCCTCTGCCACCACCGTGGTGGGATTTCAGGTGCATGTCGACAAACGGCTTTTACGTGGATGCCGTGGAACCGAGCTCAGGTCCTCACGTACGCACAGTGAGCCATCTCCACCCAGCTCCCTCATCAGGCTGTGGTTGCCTTAGGTACATTTTATAGCCAGAATTACAGAATGGAAGCCAAGTTCTCCGAGCAAGCTGAATCTTAGCTTCCCTCCCATGAGCTTTCAGTGCAAGCGGGCCTCCCAGGATGCACCTGTCCTAAAGGCTCCTTTGTTATGAGTCTCAAGTTCGAGTTTCCCAGGAGCCTGTGCACATTTGCTGGCAAGCCTGCTTGCCTCCCCAAGAAGGGAGGACCGTTAGGGACCTGCAAGAGCTCTGAGGAGAAGCTCATTCCTGTCAGCCTGCAGGGACTGGCTACACGGATGCCCTCTGCACCCTCTGCACCCTCCGACAGTGCCCTTTTGCCTGCATTCTGCGGCATCTTTATCTATCTTCATCTTGATGGCTCTACTGCTGATAACGGCTGGACAGGTAAACAAGGAAGGAGAAAGTCCACAAAATGCCTGTCACATGAGGCCCAGGGCCATGGGCAGGGCCAGCCTAGAGAAAGGCCAGCCCCTCCTTCCTGGCTTTCCAGGCCTGGGTCCCTCGCCTCCTCCAGTTTCCCCCTTGGCAGTTGAGGCTCCAACGTAGGAATCCCCAACCCTGGGTTCATGCTCTCTCTGCCTCAGTGTGTGTGTGTGTGTGTGTGTATCCAAAAGCCTGGACAAGTGGTAGCCAAGCACTGTGGGATGTGAAAGTGAAGGGGGGCAGATTACAGCCATACTCAGCACACACCTGTGCCCTGCAACCGTACCCCAGTCCCCAGAGTTGAGAGCCCCACTCCAGGTCCTGGTATATGGGAAGGACAGCTCGAGACTGCTGGGGTGAGCTGCCTCACCCCAGGCCACAAAGCACGCCTGCAGTGAGCTGAGGCCTGGAGCAGGGACTCTCCCAATCTTGTGTCATCTGGCCCATGGGCCACTGCAGCTGAGCCCTGGTTTAAACTAAGGACGCTGAGGAGAGTGTCTCAACAGAAGAGCTAAACCCAAAGCAGTTCCCGCTCAGGCTGGGGAGAGTTGCTGAGCCAAGTGCAAATGGAAAATGTAGGCTGCATGTCCTTGTTCAAACATGACCAAGAAGCCGGGTGTGGTGGCTCACACCTTTAATCCCAGCGCTCTGGGAGGCAGAGGCAGGTGGATCTCTGTGAGTTCAAGGCCAGCCTGGTCTATAGAGTGAATCCAAGACAGCCAAGGCTACACACAGAAATCCTGTCTCTAAAAATCAAAACAAAACAAAACAAAAAGTGACCAAGAATTTTAAGGAAGACACCAGAGCAAGATTCTGATCCCAGAGCCCTGAGCAAAAACTGCAGCCCAGGATCCCCCAGAGGAGGAGGGCAGGCAGGGAGAGGAAGCAGCTTCCCAGACCCGATACCTGAGCTGTGGGCTGCAGGAACCCTAACCCAGGTCAGCAGCCAGCCTCGCTCACGCCACCACTGCCTCCTACCTAACTCACCCGGAATGGCTTCCTTCTTCACCCATGCCTGCAAGAGGAGCCAGATCACACTTCTTGGGGAGCAGACTCTCCCACTGAGACTGTTAGTGTGAACGAGGGCTTGGGTAGGAATTGTGTGTGTATATTTAGCAGAACTGGGGATTGAACCCAGGGCCTTGAACAAGGGTTTTGAACAAGTGGGCAAGGGTTTTGCCACTGAGCCATCTCCCAGCCTTGAGCCCAGGGTTTGAACGTACGTGTATGAGAACATGCAGGTTTTGTAGATGGGCTTTTTTTCTTAAGATTTATTTATCATGTATACAGTGTTCTGCCTGCATGTACACCTGCACACCAGAAGGGGGCACCAGATCTCATTATAGACGGTTGTGAGCCACCATGTGGTTGCTGGGAATTGAACTCAGAACCTCTGGAAGAGCAGCCAGTTCTCTTCATCTCTGAACCATCTCTCCAGCCCACATTTTTTTTTTTTAGGTGGTACTCGGGCTTGAGCCTGGGGCCACATGTAATGCTAGGCACAGGCTCTACTGAGCTATTCCTCCAGCCATATATGCAGTATTTTGAGTAATTGTTTTGATTCAGGAAAAACAAAATATCAATTTTTAAAATAAAAATGCTGTGACTCTCACAGGTGGAGGCTGTTCCAAAAGGTAGGCCTAAGGATCCTGTCTTTCTTTACAACTCTGACAATTTCTTTATCTGGCATTTGTTTGTTTTAAATTGCATGAAAGTGACACTTTCTTGATTAGTGAGTGTTGGAATCTCTCTCTCTCTCTCTCTCTCTCTCTCTCCTTTTTTGAGACAGAAACCAGTTTCTCTGTGTAGCCTTGGCTGTCCTGGACTAAATTTATAGGCCAGGCTGTCCTTGAACTCAGCCTCTGTTTCCCTGAGCGCTGTGATTAAAGGCATGTGCCACCAGGCCCAGCTGTTGTTTTTTAGTGCAAGAGCCCGACACCCACCCCCAGTTCTGGCCCTGGTGGTAGACAGGACCCTGAGGGGAAAAGATAATGAGCACCCAGGTCTGTGCGCTCACCTGTACCCCTGCTCAGCTTCCTCCTGCTGAGGGAACACTACACCTGTGTGGGAAGCTCTTCACCAGACCCAGTGTGCACCAGGCAACACCTCCCAGGACCAGCTTTCGCCCCGGGAGCACGAGAACAGTGCAGCAGAAGGGTGTGACCCCTGCACGGAGAAACATCTGTGAAGACCAGAGATGGTACACCACACACACACACACACACACACCACACACACATACAACACACACACACACACACACACACACACACACACACACACACACACACCACACACCATGCAGGAGGGAGTCGGACTCAACCCCAATTTTCAGATGGGGAAACTAAGGTTTGTCCAGAGCCTTCAACCAGGAAGTTGAAGAGTGAGGGTTGTCAGGAGTCAGGCTGATGACTGAGGGTTTTTTTTTCCTCCACACACCCGCCCCCCAGCTGGCCAGTCATTCCAATTACACATGGTAAAGTTGACCCTCTGGTAAGGAAGAGCCAGGTGGTCCCTTTCAACAAGGGTCAATAGTTCCTTCTTCGGACTGAGCCCAGGAAGGGGGGAGCTGACCAGCAGGGGCCCTTTAAGGCTGGCCAGGGGCAAGTTCATTCACCCAGGGGCCCCTGCTGACTCACGCTTATGAAAGTGATTTTCCTGGCCCCGCCTCTGCCTCCGCCTCCTCCCAGCCCTGCTATGAAATACCCCTGCTAGCTGTGGCCTCGCACAGCCTCTGGGATCCCCAAGGCTAATGGGTATCCTGTTCTTGCAGCAGGGCACCGTGACAAAGTCTCTCAAGTTCCTCTGAGCGTCCAGCCAACCCGGGCTCAACAGCTCCCTCCAGCCTATCAGGTGAGCGGCCTGAGCAAGGTTAGGGTGGGAAACAATAGCCATGGGGCAGGGGTGGCTGGCCTGGGGAGCTGGGCAGCAGGTAGGCTGGTCCCGAGTAGGACTCTGGGAGTCCTCCCTGCTCCTCCCAGCCATGTCCATGTCCTGGTGTCTGGACCCCTCTCCCCAACAGCCCCTGGCCCAGCAGCCTCCTTTCAGCCCATGGGATAGCTGCTCTGACAGGAAGAAGTGTGGGCAGCTTTGCTCCTTCGAGGCATCCATGGCTACGTATCTACAGCCCGGTGAAGCGCTTTCCTGGTGTCCTGGTGTATCGGGCACAGATGGGCACAGCCAAGGGTCCCTGAGCACTTGGCTTATGGAAGGTGCTTTGGAGAGAGTAGTGGTGGGCCCGTGGAATTGGGGCATCTGGCATCCTTGGGCTCAGGTGGGGCGGGCACTTGGAATGAGACTTCGGGGTGACTAAGGCCAGGTAATGCTTGGCTGACTGCACACTTCCTCATGCCCCAGGGCTTCGTGTCACCAGCAGCTGTCACTGTTACCTGTTGCGCTTTATCTGTGAATGGAGGGAAAGGGGCCCGACTAGGCCATCTGGGACCTAGACATGATGCCTTCCTCCTCCCTACCTCAATTTCTTTCTCTGTGCAATGGGACTAAGAGACTCCAGCAGAGGGGGTGTCTTAGAGGCAAATGGTACATGGGTTCCAACCTACCCCCCCGCCCCGTGCGACGATTTCATAACCTCAGAAATATCTGCAGTGTAATACCAGGGCAGCACTTTTCATTTTCGTGTGTTCGTGCCTGTGGAGGTCAAAGGTCACTCTCTAAAGTCCTGTGTTCATGCCTGTGGAGATCAGAGGTCAATCTCTACTGTCTTCCTCAATCACTATCCAGTTTTTTGTTTTGTTTTTTTGTTTTGTTTTGTTTTGTTTTGTTTTGTCTTTGGAGACAACAGGGTTTCTCTGTTGTCATTTTTTTATTTTTATTTATTGTACTAGAGAGAGCGAGTGGAGGTCAGGTCACACAGCCACCCTCGGGGGTTAGGAGTCAGTTTTCTCCTTCCATCTTTCTGTGGGCTCACTACCCTTGTGAGCCTCTGTTTCCCTGAGCGCTGTGATTAAAGGCATGTGCCACTGGGCCTGGCTGTTGTTTTTTAGTGCAAGAGCCCGACACCCACCCCCCAGTTCTGGTCCTGGTGGTAGACAGGACCCTGAGGGGAAAAGATAATGAGCACCCAGGTCTGTGCGCTCACAAGTCTCCCGCTGAGCCCTTTCACTGGCTCTCGTGGACTGAACCCGGAGCCTGTCATTCCTCTGGCCGGCCAGTGATCTCCAGGGCCCTCCGCTTCTGTGTCTCCCCAGATGTGATTACATATGTCTGCGTTTTACAGGAGGATGAGGAATCTGAACTCAGGTCCTCACGCTGTGGGGCGAGCTCTCCCTGGTCCCTCAGACCAGCCGCTTAGAATGTTAACTGTTCCCGTCAACCCAATCAGGGGACTTTAAATGTGGGTTATTCTAAGCTGGACGAGTGGGGCTCAGCCCTACAATCGGAGCACATGGGAGGTGCAGGCAGGAAGATCAAGAGTTCAAGGCCAACCGAGGCTGACTCGGTTTAAAGTTTGAGACTGTCACATTCAAGCCAAGGAGCTTCTTCCAACCCTAAGCCCAGGGCTGGAACTAGAGAAGGGAGCAGCTTGTTAGCATTATAAACTTGTAGTAGGTGTTTGTGGGTTTCCGTGAGGGTGAGCAGCTTGGGGGTATGGCCTCTGGGGGTCAGGCCTGGTGGTGACCTCATGTGTATGGCATCCAGCAGCTGCAGAAGCTTCTGCCAGCTGGGAGGGGGACCTGGTCTTGGCATGCAAAGTCCTCCAGTGTATTAGCCAATCCTATATCCTGTGAAGCACCTTGGGCATCCCCTTGGATCTGGCCTGTGTGACGGGGCGCCCTGCTGGCACCAGTGAAGAGCTGGATGCTGGGGTACTGAGAGACAGAAGGAGTTGGGGCCTCAGGTCTCGGGGGTTGGTTGGCATTCTCTTTTCAGGGGTGTTGGAATGTCTAGGAGGGCTGTGCTCACAGGGATCAAATTCCAGTTCTATTATGGGCCTGCTCTGAAACTTGGGGGGTGCATGGCTTTACCCCCAGGCCTCAGTCTCCTCATCTGAGAAGTGGGTTGTCATGAGAACTAAAGGAGCTAACACATAGGAAACACCCTGCCAGGGTGTCGCCCTCGCCTCTGCTGCTGCTGTCCCTGGGGATAATGAAGACAGGAGGGAGAAGCCCCAGGCCCTTTGTGCCCTGACTGCACTGCTAGGAGACCTCCCTCCAGTAACTGCAGCCTGAATCTCGAAGGCTCTGAGCACAGCTGCAACCCTCTAGTTAGTGAGAAACTGACCCTCCTCCAGGACGCTGGGGCCAGAATCTGCCAGAGGGCAAAAGGGGACACCACACCACAGTCCCCCACAGCTTCAAGGGCACAGAGCAGGCTCTGGAGCAGGGTGGCCCTGCTCAAGGCCAGCTTCTTGTGGACTCTAAAGTCTGTACAAAGCTCCCCAGCCTCAGTTTTCCTATCTGTCACATGGGCATGGTCAATAAGAGTACCCTTAACCACCCGGGAATTATCATAAGCATAAACTGCTGTGTGTGCAGGGTTGGGAACTCGCATGGCACCAGCTCTGCAGAAGCCTAGAAGTACCTGGCACCGGCTGCTACAACCACTGCCACTGGTCTTGCTACCTCAGTATCCTCTCAGGCCTTGTATGGGGAATGCCACGTAGTCTCCAATTTCAGCAGGAAGCCATGTGCACTCTCCCAGGGAGGAGGAGGGGAGGAGGAGGAGGAGGACCTAGAGGACCCAGAGGGAGCTGGGGACATGCGGCCCATCTTGACAAGTCAGAGAAATGACCCCAAGCCTGAGTACAACTGAGGCTAGAGAGATGGACCTTGGCCAGCCCAGCTGTGAGCCGGGCTTACCTTTCACAGCCGCCAGCAGAGGAGGAGCCCTGGACGCCAGCACCAGGTGCAAGCTGCCGGGAGGTCAGTTGTCCTGTCTGACTGGTCAGACTTGCCTGCTGGGAGGTGCGCGCAAGTCACCTGGGGCCTCAGCTGTGTTTTGTTGGCCCAGGAAGGATTTGCATTAAGGTGCGCCATCGGCTGCCCAAACTAGAGACTGCACATACAACTCCCAGAATTCCGCCTCCTCTGGAAGAGTTGTGGGGATGTGACCTCAGACCAGTGTGCTGCCGCTAGGTGAGCATGAGGCTCTCGGGGACCCGCGCAGCGGCCCAGGGCCTTAATCATTAGTTAGCCTTGGTTACTGTCCTACCAGCAGCTTCCAGGGTGAGCATGGGAGGAACAGGTCGCTGGAGGAGCTCGTCCCCCTGTTCCCCCATCGCGGCCCAACATTTTTTGTGCCACACCCCACACCCATTTCCTCCCCCTAGGATGGATACAGGGGCTGTGGCCCCCTGGGGGAGGTTGCCCCAAGCCCTAGCCCGGGAACAGAGCGCTAGGGCTTTGAACAATTAGGCATTGTGACCAGCAGGGGGCGCAGGAACTCAAAACTTCGGGCTTGCTGGCATTTTTCCCAAACGCAGCTGTCAAAGTCTTGCCAAGTCCAAGGTCCAGCTCCGCCCTGAGCAGGAGGTCAGGCAGGGCCTTCCTGGCAGTAAATCCACCCCAGCAGGTATTCCAGAACATTCTCCTACTTTCACAGCCTACTGAGGCTCAGGCCTGGGAAAGAGCTGGCGTCACCAGTGAGGAAGTGGGATGGTGGCACTGCAGCTACCACAGAAGCCTTGTCTTGCTCCCTGACTGGGCAGGGGGACCTCCCCTTGAGATGAAGTGGGGAGATGGGTGGTGTAAGTGTCAGAGTTGGTGGCTTCTGGTCCCCAGGCTCCTGGGGAGGAGGGCAGGTGCCCCAGGTGGCTGAGGGCAGACATGTTGGATGCAGAGAATGTGAGAGGGGAGGAGGGAGAGATGAGGCACACTGCAGCAGCCCCCAAGGGTCCTGCATTCATCCCTGAGTTCCAAGGAGTAGCTGAGACTGGGCATGAAGTCCCCCAGCTTGACTGCAAGGGCGTTCTCTTTGCTCTGCTCCCCAGGTCAGCTGCCAGCCCCAAGCCGAACTCCAACCCCAGCTATGAGCTCCTGGAGGCATGACTCCCTCAAGGCCAGCCCTTCAGAGCCCCTCCCCGTGGTTATCATTGGTAAGTGTCACACTGGCAGGGTGCAGGACACACTGGTGCTCCGGGGAGCCCTGGTTCTGAGACTAGCAAGGCCAAGGCTGGCCTCTGGGTGGCTGTCTTTAAATGAAGCTGGTCTGTTTATGGGGGAGGGGCGGGGGCAGCACTGAAATGATGATGTGCAACAGATCTTATATGAAAAGAGGTTTATTGAATGGAGAGAGAGAAGGAGAGAGGGAGACATGATAGGGGGAGGGGAATAGGGCACCGGAACAGGAAAGGGGGGAGAGCAGGAGAGAGAGAGGAAGAGAGCACAAGAGCAAGAAGGCAAGAGAGAGACAAAGTGGCAGGTTGGTCCTTTTATGGAGCAAGTGAACCACGCCTGCCAGGTGCGACTACCTGGCCCGGCGACATGTGATGACATCATAGGTTGCTAGGCAACCCAGAAGCAGGCCGCCTAAATACTAACAAGCACTATGAGAACAAACATTCGTGCCATCACCCAGAGTCCACACTGTGCTAGATGCCCATATGGAGAACACAACAGTGGGGCCCGTGTTTCCTGTCCTCTGCTGTGCAAGATTGAGAAAGAGAATGGGAGCATCAGGTGGGGCCACATGGACAGACATTTTAAAAGCAAAAGACAGATGGATGGCAGTAAGAACCGGGAGAGAGGATGAGACAGGCAGAGAACGCTCTGATCCCAGCGGGGGGAGCTTCCGTCACTCAGCCTGGGAAATAGCCATCACTGGCCACGCACAGGGCTTGAAGCAATCCTTCCTACCCATGGTCTTGTCACCTCTAAGTCATTGTCACAGCCCTCCTGGCGAAGCATACAGGCATGCACTCTGCCTCTGAGCCATCCCCTTTTACTTTACTTTCACTTGGGGGCTCACCAAGTTGCCTAAGCTGGCCTCGAACTTGGGAGTGGGTCTGTCTCTTTGAGGGTGAATCCCTGCTGAGCCTTTTGTCCGCTGTGTAAACACAGGCCGCTTGACCTCTCTATGCCCATTTCCTCAAGCACAAAAAGAGAAAATTCTGACATCTCTCTTCACTGACAGTCACCTCGGTGGTGTGCTTAGAAAAGCCCTAACCACGGGACCCACACATGGGACAAAATGACTCGCTAGTGTATTTCTTGACCATTATTACACATGGCATTGGACACAGTTATGGTGAATGTTTCATGCAATGAAGGAGTAGCTATCCAGGCCGAGTCGCCCTGACCTCGCTGTGTTTGCAGGCAATGGTCCCTCAGGCATCTGCCTGTCCTACCTACTGTCTGGCCACATCCCCTATGTGAAACCAGGAGCTGTCCACCCACACCCCCTGCTGCAGAGAAAGCTGGCTGAGGCTCCAGGGGTCTCCATCCTGGACCAGGTGGGTTAGAGACATGAGTTTGGGAGGGGCTTCTTCTAGAGAAAAGCCAGGGGTCTTTGGAAGAGCAAGCACAGAACAGAGGAGTCCACAAAACCAACCATAAAACAGGAAAAGAGTGGCTGGGCTGGGAGACCCGCTGTGCCAGCTGTCTCACCATGGTTCTCAGTGAGGGGGGTCCCTCCAAGAACACTCGCTGGGACAGTCCCCCCAAAATACTCAGCATAGAGGTCCCTGTGTGAGCAGTTTCCCTCAGCCTCAGGGTGGGACTCTGCGATCCCCTGGGGTCCCACTGACCTGTGCCCCCTTTCAGGACCTAGAGTACCTTTCTGAAGGCCTTGAAGGCCGAAGCCAGAGCCCTGTAGCCCTGCTCTTTGATGCCCTCCTGCGCCCTGACACAGACTTTGGGGGCAACGTGGACTCTGTGCTCTCCTGGAAGCGGCAGAAGGAACTTGCTGTTCCCCACCTCGTCCTGGGGCGGAACCTCCCTGGGGGTGCCTGGCATGTGAGTATCACCTCTATCTTCTCTCTCACACCCTTTCTCCCGGAAGTCTCCCCCACTGCTACCTGCCTCAACCCTGAGGTGGGGTGGAGCGGGGCCTGAGAACTCCTTTCTCTGCAGTCCATTGAAGGCTCCATGGTGACCTTGAGCCAAGGCCAGTGGATGAGTCTTCCAGACCTGCAGGTTAAGGACTGGATGCGGAAGAAATGCAGGTAAGGGGCCCCTGGGAGGCTGGGCAGGCAGAGGAGACCCCCATACAGATAACCTGTCCTCTCTAGGTCCTGGTTCTGGTGGACTCTGTCCCTGCAGATGAGGAGGGGTGTCGGATTTATGTAGTGACAAGAGCTTGTGTTCCAGCTGCCTTTTTGCATGACATCTCCGAGAAGTATCTTATGAAGCCAAGGTGCTTGTAGCCTTCCCTTTACATGGCTTCGTAATATTCCTTCATGGGGCCATGGCCCTGGCTCAGCAAAGAGCCCACTCAAGAGATCCACTACCAGCCACCTGCCTCTCTTCAGTGTGCCATTGGGATAAACAGCCCTTCAGGTAGCCTCTTAGCACAGTTCTGTGTTACAGTTTACACACACACACACACACACACACACACACACACACACACGAAATGACACGCAGAGCTCTGCTCCTGGGTGGCCTGGGCGCATCGTGGCCAGCCATATGTCCTGCGGAGGGTTTAGCTGCAGCTTTGTGGGGTCAATGCAACAAGGTACAGGAAAGTCTGAGGTTATGACAAGCCAACTGCCCCCCAGTGTCACAGGCGCTACAGCCGCTGTCCCTGGAAAGGGAAGAGATACAATGGAAAAAAAAAAAAAAGGCAGGAAATAATGACACAGCCCCCTTCCTCACCTCTCCCCCCCGTGCCTTTCCTGTGTGCTTCAGGACCTGCCAAGGGCTTCAGTGGGATATTTTTAAGTCCACACTTCAATCAGAATGTGATTCCCGGGGCTGGGGATTTAGCTCAGTGATAAAAATGCTTGCCAAGCAAGTGCAAGGCCCTGAATTCCATCATCACCTCTGTGTGTGTGTGTGTGTGTGTGTGTGTGGGTGGGTGGGTGTGTGACATAGAAAAGGGTAGCCCTGAGTCCCACTGAGGAGCACCTTGCCGTGGCACTCAAGGCCACATTCTGAATCCACTACCCAGCAACCCACTGCCCTGGGCTCATGCTCCCTTCCCCCCTCCAGCTCTTAACTCTAGCTGTACAGACTCTTGACTTCATTCTGACCTTTATAGACCTGAGATCTTACTGCATTCACACAGGCCTTTTGGGGTTTGAGTTTTTGAGGCAGCGTTTGCCACGCAAGGCTGGCCTTCAACTGTGATCCTCCTGCCTCAGCCTCCTGAGCGCTGATAGTCACCAGCTTTCGGACTGTTATTACCGCCTGGGGTAGGGACATTGCTGGCTGGCCAGCCCAGACAGCTCACCCCCATGCTCAGGTTCCAGTCTAGACACCCACCGCCCTGCCTCACGCATAGGGAAACTGAGGCACAGGGAGTCTCAGGCTTTGAGAGGTACCCTTGTTAGTTCTACTTTTCACAGGAGACATGGAAGCCTGGCCTCAGCGGGGAGGGCTGTCGCCACTGGCCATTGCACTCCTCCGTGCCTGTCTCTAACGCCCAGCCTCCCACATCTGCTTCTTCTTCAGAGGTCTCCGGAACAGCAGAGCCACAGCCGGTGACATCGCCCTCTACTACAGGGACTATGTGACCAAGAAGGGGCTAAGCCAGAACTTTGTGTCTGGTGCTGTAGTCACCGCCGTGGGGTGGGCCAAGGCTGAGCACGGTGGCTCTGAGGCCGAGGTCCCCAGGCCCCTCTTCCAAGTGCACGGCTACTTGACTGCCAAGGACCACAGCCGCCGGCCCTTCTCACTGTGGGCCCGGAATGTGGTCTTGGCCACAGGGACCTTTGACAGCCCAGCCATGCTAGGCATCCCAGGAGAGACCCTGCCCTTTGTCCACCATGAGCTCTCAGCCTTGGAGGCAGCCCTCCGGGCAGGCACTGTGAACCCAGCCTCCGACCCAGTGCTGATCGTGGGAGCCGGGCTGTCTGCGGCCGACGCTGTCCTCTTTGCTCGCCACTACAACATCCAGGTGATCCATGCCTTCCGCCGCTCCGTGCACGACCCCGGCCTGGTGTTCAACCAGCTGCCCAAGATGCTATACCCAGAGTACCACAAGGTACAGCAGATGATGCGCGAGCAGTCCATCTCGTCATCCAGCCCCTACAAGGGCTACCGCAGCCTCCCCGAGCACAGGCCGCTGCTCTTCAAGGAGGACCATCAGGCGGTGTTCCAGGACCCACAGGGGGGCCAGCAGCTCTTTGGAGTCTCCATGGTGCTGGTTCTCATCGGCTCCCACCCCGACCTCTCCTACCTCCCCAGGGCGGGTGCTGACTTGGTCATAGACCCAGACCAGCCTCTGAGCCCCAAGAGGAATCCCATTGACGTAGACCCTTTCACCCATGAGAGCACTCACCAGGAGGGCCTGTATGCCCTGGGGCCGCTGGCTGGGGACAACTTCGTGAGGTTCGTCCAGGGTGGGGCCCTGGCTGCTGCCAGCTCCCTGCTGAGGAAGGAGACCAGGAAGCCACCTTAACACCAACCAGATGCCCTGACACCCAGGCCCTAAAGAGAAGGAGCTCACCACAGCCCAGTGGGACATGAGCCCATCTAAAGATTTTCCATGCGGGGAGCAGCCTCCCTGGCAGGAGGTGAAGACTTGAGCCCTGTGGATGGACTAGCCGGCCCAGAGGCATGGGAACTCAGGCTGCCCCAACCCCAGGCTGGGCAAGGCCCCAGGTGGGAGCAGTAGCTGTAAGCCAGAGGGGTCTGGGCCCCCTTGAAGCTGTGTGTGCTGGAATCACAGGACCAGCTGAGAGCCCAAAGAGGATGCTCCAGGCCCAACCTTTCAGAATTAGATCCGTAATAAAACCAGCTGTGCCTCCCTCCACTGTGCCTTATGGAGTCCGTGCTTGGGTAGTGACTAGGGAAACAGACCGTGCCCTGGGCCCCAGGGTAAGGCCCACGGCTCCATGAACACAAGGGCTACGGCCTCAGGGTGGAGCCATCCATGGGCACGCGACGGATGGTGGTGGTGCTAGAGACTCTCAGAGTATGGGCAGGGAATGAGTGAGGCTTCCAGAAGCCTGCTGCTGCCCTGTCCGCCCTGTTCAGTTCCCTGATCAGTCTCCTAGTCTCACCTCCCTGTTGCCTGCCTCGCGGGGCCGTGCGCAGGCTGGCGTCCAGCCCCGGGCCCTCTAGTCAGGTCTCTCTCTAGTCTGAGTCACTTGCACAGGTCTCTGCATGTGTGAGTGTGTGTGTCTGCCTGCCTTCAGGGCAACTGGCGCCCGCGGGTGGAGGAGGGGAAAAAGGGACGTGGGGAGGACCGGCCGGCAGAGGGCGCTCGGGGCTCGCCGGACAACAGTACCACGGGGGAGGGGACCGAGGGTCAGCAGGACCCTGGAGGGGACGGTGGCACCATCCTGAGGTCCCCCACCCTCCTCCACACCAGCCCACAGCCCCGCGTGAATGTAGACATCCCCCCTCTGCGGCAGTGCCAGGGTCCGGCCGCCGGTCCCCGCGCCCCCGTGGGCAGTCCCCTGCCTCCGCTCTTGGCCGGCGAAGTGGGGGCGGCGGGCGTG